TATATTGTCCCCCAGCTTATTTAACTTGTATGCAGAATACATCATGCGAAAGGCTGGATTGGAGGAATCCCAAGTGGGAATTAAGATTGCTGGAAGAAATATCAACAAGCTCCGATATGCAGATGATACCACTCTGATGGCAGAAAGCAAGGAGGAATTAAAGAACCTCTTAATGAGGGTGAAAGAGAAGAGCACAAAAATGGTCTGAAGCTCAACATTTAAAAAAAGCTAAAATTATGGCCACTGATCCCATCACCACCTGGCAAATAGAAAGGGAAGATATGGAGGCAGTGACAGATTTAATTTCTTGGGCTCCATGATCACTACAGATGGTGACAGGAGCCATGAAATTAAAAGATACCTGCTTCTTGGGAGGATAGCATCGACAAACCTTGACAGCATCTTAAAAAGCAGAGACATCACCTTGCTGACAAAGGGCCACAAAGTCAAAGCTATGGTTTTTCCAGTAGTGATGTATAGAGGTGAGAGCTGGACCATAAAGAAGGCTGGACCATAAAGAAGGCTGGACCATAAAGAATTGATGCTTTTGAATTGTGGTGCTGGTGGAGACTCTTGAGAGTTCCCTGGACTGCAAAGAGAACAAACCTATCAATTCTGAAGTAAATCAACCCTGAGTGCTCACTGGAAGGACAGATCCTAAAGGTGAGGCTCCAATACTTTGGCCATCTCATGAGAAGAGAAGACTCCCTGGAAAAGACCCTGATGTTGGGAAAGTGTGAAGGTAAGAGGAGAAGCGGATGACAGAGGACGAGATGGTTGGACAGTGTCACCGAAGCTAGTAACATGAATTTGACCAAACTCTGGGAGGCATTGAAAGACAGGAGGACTTGGCGTGCTCTGGTCCATGGGGTCACGAAGAGTCAGACATGACTTAATGACTAAACAACAACAACACCTGGCCCTAGCCTCAAAAAATAAATTTAAATAAAATATACGCACCTTAAGAATGCCCTGCCCAAAGTCCCATTATTTGAAATAATGAAATAAATAATTTGAAAATCTGAATGCTTTGCACACAGTAACTTTCCCTGGCTACTCAGAGATAGCACACAGAGAAACAGCAACCAACCACTCTGTCCAAACATCTGAGCAGAAGTGGGAAATGGCTGCAAGGCGAATGCTTATAAAGCCTCTTAGCAAGCTTTGGGGCCTAAATCCTTTGACCAGCACGTTTGCCTGTCTCACGTGCCAATCCAGGAGTCTCTGTGTCCCTCCCAGTGTTGCCCAGAGACTCTTGATTGACAGGTGTAAGTTTCAGATGGTTGGAGGGAGGCAAAAACGGCCCCCAGACACCCAGGAAACAGTCCAAAAATGACCCAAGAATGGGTAAATGAAGTGACAAAAATTTCTCTCTTGTTTAAGTATTTCTCTCTTTGTATTCATTGGGTTATCATGTCCAACAAATACAAAGCACCAAATTTCCAACAAATTAGTAGTTTTTGATGAATTTTTCATCTTTTAATTTGTGCCCATCTCTACATTGAACTGTTCCCCATTCTTTTTTTTGTTTTGTTTTGTTTTGTTTTGGGGCCTAAATCCCAAAGTTTTTCATTCTTCATGTAAATCTACTTGTTGCTAAGACTTATCCCAGCAGGATCCTCCTCCTTATAAATCTTTTTCTCTCAAGTAGTCAAACATTCTGACATTCCAGGATACCAGGAAACAGAAATGCAAATATGTATATAGAAAATCCCTCACTCAACAGGGGTGGAGGCCTTATACAATCTGTCTCCTATTTATCATGTTGGCCTTTCATCCAGCCCCAGAAAGATTAGGAGCACACACCAGAAAGACCACTGCTAATGACCCATGACAACGGGTGGAGAAAGACTATGGAGGTGGGATCTTTACTCACTCCCAGTCCTTTGTCCATCTAAGAGCCTATTCAGACCAGGGGAAGTGAAACCAAGGTGGAGGATATATCATTGGTCTCCCACCAACTCTCCTCAGACTGAAGAAGTTACTTGGAAGAGTAGTGGAAGGTTGAAAGAAAGATGTCCAGTCGCCATGACTCAACTTCCAGAAATGCAAATGCAAAAACAAAACAAACAATATATTTCTAGTAAAGCCAACCTCAAAGACAATCAGGCCTGAATTCTTATTTCTCTTAAAATGTTGAAGGCTGCTGTTTTTCTTGGGGAGAAGAATGGACAGTCAGCAGAAGCTCAATAGTGTAGAATCCAACAAATCAACTTCAAAGGATGCACATGATCAAGGAGTCAAATGACACACGGGCCAAAAGTCCTATTAATGTTTGTGAAAGAATCATGTAAGTTGCAGTTCCTAATTGCAGTTAATTGATGACAGCTTGGGCGTTTGTTAGTGACATGTCTGGCTAATGTGCCCAACAGCAGGCCTGGCTTCTGCTCCAGCACCTTATCAGGTAGCTACTATTAGTCACAGCAATCTAACACAATTGTCAGTAGGATATGGTCCAGTAAAGGAAATGTGTATTTCCTGCTATTACAACGTTTCTCTCCATTCATGCAATTTCTTCAATGCCCTGTGACTTGGCAATCAGACCTGTAAATGAATTCTGTGTTTACCTCTCATAAAAAAGATCACATAACAATAATTAAAGCAAAATTGCAACATGCAAGATGAGGAACACTTGTGAAAGGGTAAACAGCTCTCTTTTACCTCTTAAGAGAAATTCACTTCTAGTGGCATGCTAATGGTTTTACCTAATTTTATTTATTTATGTATTTATTTATTTAGATTTATACCCTGCCCATCTAGACCAAACGGGTATACATCTAATAAATTTAGTTTGACTCTAAAACACAATCTGTGAACCAAGCACCCTTTTCCCCAAGGCATATCATACGGTTAGGGAACCAACTGCCTCTCCTCGAAGAAGAAATATATTTGATTTACAATATCACATGGAAATACCCATTAGATACCTCTGAAACTATGAAATGGAACAAAGTTCATCTTGCTTTGTAAATCTGTGTATTTCCATGCTGTGCAGTTCATTCTGAATGGGGAAAAATACATACCGATGTGTGCATGCATTTCAAAAAAGTGCAGGACTAAAAACAAATAACTTAAAACATGCACACAAACCCACTTTAGTCAGTTAAAAATCCGTATTTTGGAAAAATGCATGGAAAATATGCATACATCTCTATGTGGGAAGCAAGAAAACAATGCAGTAGAAATATGGAACAAGAATGCCGGTGGCATTCTGAGGAACACCATGAGAAAGATACAAACAGATTTTCCCATATACGTACCGTATATTCTCCAAAAGGGTACATTTCATTTCCATGCCTTTCTATGCTTGTACTTTGGTTCTGTGACAGCAAAAAGAGAACATTTTGGAAAGAAGTGTAGCGTATTCATTTTTACCATGTCATTTTGGGCTATGCATGGGGATAACTGTTTATTTAAAATGAAAGTAGATGAGTTTTAAAATAGTCTGGTGTTTGGTGATAGAAGGAAGTTATGATAGAATCAGCAGAGTACGATGTGAAAAATACAACAGATGGCCTTCCTCTATGTGACTGTGACGGTTTCTCTCCTCCCCTTTGTCTGTTTAAGGGAGCTGAAAGAGCAAGCTCACAAACTGCCAAAGAGCAGTGCAGACTGAGTCAGATCCAGTGCTGGCAGTGCCAGTGCCAAAAACAGGATGCTGAGCTAGATTCGGGGCCAGATTTCAGGATGTGGGACTTACTTCTCAGTAATTATGGCTAGGATTGTGCTGACAGTCTGATCTAGAAGAATTAGATACATTTTCCCAATGAAATGACAGTTTGATGTAGAGATGGGCACAAACCACCAATTTGGCGGTTCGGTGCAGTTCAATTCCTGGCTGAACAGCTGGTCTGCAGTTGGGCGCCCTGCCCCCTCCAGCAGGCGCCCACTTAGCAGCAGCACCCAGAGGAGGCGAGTGGGACACTGCTGCTGGGGGGGGGCTGCTGCAGGGGGCAGGACACCAAAACTGCAGATCAGCTGATTGGCTGGGAAACAAACTATGCCAAACCACTGAACTGGCGGTTCATGCCTATCTCTAGTTTAATGCTTTTCCTAGGCAAACTCAGTGAGTCCGAATGGGGGATACTACCAGTACGAGATTAACTCATAAACAAAGTAAACTGCAGTTTAAGAACTCAGATTGGGATTTCTTAATGGGAACGTTATGTTATGGGCCATCAAGCTGCATGTGATTTATGCCTCTCTAATTTGGTTTTCAAAGTATGCTATGAAGCTACCAACATGAATTTGACCCAACTCCGGGAGGCAGTGAAAGACAGGAGGGCCTGGCGTGCTCTGGTCCATGGGGTCATGAACAGTTGGACATGACTAAACAACAAGTAATTAATTAATTAATTAATTATAATGTTATAATTAATTAATTAAATATAATGTTAAAAGTCCTCCAAACACCTTTTTAAAACCTAAATTTCTTGTTGTATATAATTGTTCTAATTATATGCTTTCTTTGGTAGTGTTATGGACTTAGCATGTCTTAATCCAGCTGTGGGTGCTACCCGAGACTGGCTGAGCCTGTCATCCCTGATGGGGAGCAAACTGCATCAGCAGCACTTCTTCGAATATTCTAAAATATATCCTTGGGGAAAACAATTGCAGGCTTGTTTGTGGCCCCTTCATAATTCAATTTATAAATGATTTATTCTCCCCGTCTCTACAAATGTGTATTTATAGTTTATTTCTCTCTGGCCTTGCAGGAGGAAAGGATGCCAAAACCTCATGAAGATATACTTCGTTCCTGCTTTGGGAAATGTTCATATTTTCATCCGCCCAAGGTGCAGTTGTTAGAAAGGAAAGTTGAGCACATTTTTTCCATTTCACAGGAGTAACAAAGTATTCATCATAAACATTGGGCCAGGCTCTGGCTATAAAGCACAGAGTTCAGCTGACAGAATGCCTCATAAACTTCCCCACGGCTGAGATATAGAAGGCTTTGATTTATTCCAAGTATCTGAACTGACACAAGCAAGACCATATTGTATATTTTACACACTCTACCTCTGGATTCTTTCAATGACACAGGGACAATCCTCATCTCCACCCTCCATTGCACCTCTATTTGCTTTGGAGCTGCTAAGATGTTTCTTTTCCCGTGCAATAGCTGTGGTTCCACATTCATTCTCTGAGATCGGTGAGTTTCAATGCAGGGCCTTATTTCTTCACAGGGAAACATCAACACAAGCAATTCTTCACCTGAAAACTGATGCCATAGAATCATTCACCTTTCTGACATTTGACCTTGGAACCTGCTGGCTCGCCTTTGTGTCACTTTGACAAACTGACAAGGCTTGTAGTCCAATATATCAGGTGACCTCCAGGCTGAGGAAAGCAGAACAACACGAGTCAATCCAATATCCCTAAGTTTCTAAGGTTGCAATCCTATCTATGAATTGCACACCTACTGGGGAATGTGCACCACAAAACACAATCTGCATATAGGATCAGGCAGTACACATGTATCTCACTTATTTCAGACAGTGGGTTCTGCACCAGAAAACTTAAAATATGCTTTTGAAATGTTTATTTTCTTTAATATCAAGTGTTTGAACAAATTTCTCCTTAATATTAGGTGTAAAAACAATTAGCCATTGTTGAAATCAACCCCCTCGTTCCCCTGTGCATTTTAAATTATGGTGATTTCTGTGTGAGGTATATACATATACATATATACATATATACATACACACACACACACACACACACACACACACACACACACACATACACACACACACACATATATATATATATACATATATACACACACACACACACACACACATATATATACACACACGCACACATATACATACACATACATACATACATACATATATATATATACATATATACATATACATACATACATATATACATATACATATACATATACATATATATATATATACACACACACACACACACACACACACATATATACACATATATATACATATATATACACATACAGTATATACATTTTGAAAATTGCTTGAAATGTGTCAATTTCTCTTCTTCATGGGGTGAAAAAAAGTTCACTAGTTCATCATCACACACAAAAAAGTCATCACTATGGGAAATCAGCTCAACTTTCCACCTGCTAGACCAAGATCTCATCCTTCCTACAAGAAAATCAGCTGGAAATGACATTTTAGCACCCAGTAAACAAGAACCCAACACATCTCTGGCAAGCAAGTTAGTGGACCACAATAATCTCCAAATGGAAATAAATCAAGAGGTTTGATTTCTATGTATCTGGAAGGAACAGTCTAGTCAAAATATAATCCCAGCACATTTTAAAATCATGTCTTCAATTGTGTAGCAAACCTTGAAGCCTTTTCAAGGGATGGACAGGGGCCATGTATTGACTTTTCATACAAGCCCTCTTTACAGACCTTTCAACAGTTAGGATGCTGAAGCAGCATGAAGCCTGGATATGAAAATCACTCAGACTTGATCTTTTTGTGTTTCTCAGAACCCCACCTACAATCTCATCCTATTCTTGCTTCATGTAAGGCGGTAAAACTGTGGGGTTGGGGGTTTTTTTCTCACAAGAGAAAACTTATATATTTAATTCCCACTAATAAATTTAAGTTTTGTGTTGTAATTTATATGTCATCAAGTCATTCCCAATTTATGGCAACCCTATGAATTATTGATTTCCCAATGGCCATGTCATTAACGGGCCTGCTCAGGTCTTATAAACTCAAGACCATTGTTTCCTTTAGTCAGGCAAGCTATTTCATATAGCTTGCCTGAATAAAGCTCCTGAGATCTACTGATAGGTTCCATCTCACCACTAAGAAATTTGCCTCATCACTCTTCCACTGAGCTATTGTGCTCTGGATTGTTGTACTAATCTTCTAATTCTGCCTTCTCATCAACACTTTAATCCACTGTGGCATGAGTCCACAGACACCTTATGTAATGAGCCAAAAATAACCATCTTCTGTCAACTTAACTGTACCAATGCCTGCAGCTTGGATCATCATCCAGACATCTTTGCCTTCTAGGCTTTCTTTCTAACCACTAGACCTAAAACCAGCATTTAGGTCCAAGTGTGTGGAAACTGCATTATTTTGAAGCAGATTTAATTCTTTATACTGTATATAATGCTAATTTTAGCAAAGGAATGTGAGCTTGTGTTAAGAACAACAACATGGAAAACAAAGAGAGAGAGAATAAGCACTGACTGCCACAGCCTTCGGCTGCTACGCTTTCCCAATCCTGGGCTCCTCGTTGCATGAATGAGAGCAACTGGTACAAGAAATAAGAACAAAATCCATCCATGAATTTTTTTTTTAAAGTTCTCTGAAGATGCTGACCACAGAGACTGGTGAAATGTCAGGAAGAACAACCTTCAGAACATGGCCAAAGAACCCGAAAAACCCACAACAACCATCAGATCCCAGCTGTGAAAGCCTTCAAGAATACAACACAGCTGAGTTCAGAGGAAAGTTTTCCAGATGACTAAGGAAGGTTTTCAGATGGGTTTGAAATCTGGCCTGTCCCTGCAGAATAGAAATGCAGTCCTTCACAAGCTGTTGGGTTACACCTTCCATCCACCTCAGCCAGCACTGGGAATGGTTTCAGTTCATCAACGTCTAGAGGAATAGTGAGAGTTTCAATTGATCAACATCTGGAGTGCCGTACTTTACCTGCTATGGGTTTAGAATTCAAGGACTGCTGAGGGTGCAATAAGAGGAAGGAGACTGGCCCAGTTGAGTGACAGTTTCACAGGTTCAGAAATGGAACGCATTTACTACTTGCTGGCAGATGCAAGGTCCTTTGTAAGTTATCAAGTGACCATTTCCAGTTTGCTTCCTTTTAAATTGAAGAAAAAATGTTACTTCAGTTAGGCCTTTCAGGTATTTGAATAGACTGTAGTATCAGGCTTAACTTTAGTATTTGGACATTTCCATTAGAGTTCATGTATTTTGCATTTTATTTTATTTTTTTACAGAGCATCCGTATTCCATCTACTAAAATATGGATGTTTAGAGGAAACCTGTGGTTACAATGATAAATTTACATAATTACTTCAGCACCAGTTTACTCACAGGTTTTGAACGCTGTGCATAATTAGCCCAGAAGTCATTTCCTCCCTGAAATTCATCAGATTAGTACAGTATAACACAACAAACTCTCACCATACTGAAAATCTTGGGAACTACCTGCTTAGGAACAGAGTTTGTAAATAACAGACCAAATGTAGCTTGCTTAGTTAACTTACTTTTATAGCTACTGAAGGTATACATTTCAAAGATAATGTAAGGATGTTAAAAGTTTCTCTATTGATGTAAGTTACTTTAAATGTTGCAACATTTTACCGACTTACAAAAGTTACTTTCAAACAGCATTTTAAGTCACGTTTCCCAAGGAATTGTTCAGGTATTGCTCTACCCTCTTATAAATTCTAAGATTGGAAAAAGTTATGGAAAATAACAGAAAAGTAATGAGCAGCATAACTAGCAAGTAACATTTTCAACATTATAATGAGCAGCAACAATGTGTTACTTTCAAACACCATAGTGGGTGGCAGGAACAGATTACTTAAAAAAACTTAATTCTCCAAACCCTGAGCGCCTTGTAAAGCCAAGATTGCCTTTGACTGATAGCACATTTCCAGTGTTGTGATACATAGGTGCCAGGGAGTCTTCGTCTGACTGCCATCCTGCCACCTTTCCTGAATCAGAAGGAGGAACCCTGCCTGATGATTCTTGTTCAGCCAGTCTCCTCACTGCTAAGGCCCTGCTAGGCTCTGCTTTCAGTCAGCTGTTCCAGTCTTACCCAAGAATGGGTTTCTGGCTGCATGCTCGGGAAATACACTAGGCAGGAAATAGACTGGGAACTTGTTTCCTTCCTTTCCCATGGGGGAGGGGGATGATGAGCTGACCAAAAAGGTGGGGCTGCACATGACACAGCGGGAGCAAAGATCTACAGCGCATGGATGTTATTCTTAGGTTGAGGGAGGGGACAGATTGTCGGGAAAGAGGCTTCAGGCTTTTGGGCAGTGACCCAGCAGTCAGCCACACCCTCAAAAGGAGGACTCATTGTTTCCAAATCTGTGCAGCAAAGAAGCTGTGTATCCTAAGATCAACTCAGCAAGCCGACATGATTGGAGCTGAGAGCTTTCGAAGCCAAAGAACTCAGCTTCTGAATAATGATGAACGTGAGTAGGCGGGAATGTGGCAGCCATGACCTTTACGGGCTGTTTAGTTATGATGAGAAGCAGAAGAGCGTTAGAGATTATTGTATGTGTGCTGTTTGTCGGATGTTCCCTTCTCCTTTTGTTGGCAACAACAGCAACAACAATAGGCACCTGGAGCTCCAGCAATTTTATTGCAAAACTTATTGGTTCAACCACTGACTCATAAGTATCACTTAAAGGACCAGGAGAGTGAACAATATATTTAATTTGGGAGGAAAGCAAAAAAGCATGATGCTTTTTGACACACATCAAACTGATTTGATTCCGCACATCAAATGACAGCCCAGTGCAAGGAAGTGGAAACATCTGGTGGCTCTTTTTCTTTTAAAGTTTGCATTCCACAAGTGCCACTCCTTCAATCCTGCCACTGCTGTTATTCTTTTCTCATATATATGGAAGAATACAAGCCTTTTAGGGCTTTTAAGGTCAAGACCAGTCCCTTGAATTGTTCCTGGAAGATTTAGGAAGCCATTAATCTTGTAATTTTAAAATTGGCACAACTTGTGATAAAACTCTGACCATTTCCATGCTAAATAATAGCAGCTCTCTTTGTAAACGCTGCATATTGCAGAGCACATTATCCCAATAGGAGATATTACAGTATTCACCGTGACACATTTATTCACACTAAAAGACAACTTGGCAGTAGGATATAGGATCAATTTCACAGAAATCTGAAACTATGAAACAGCATCATTTAAAAAGAAAAAAACCTTTACCCAAATCAGAGAATGTTCTTTAATGTTTGGAAATAGACAGGGATGTAATTGATTATGTGCACAAGAACCCAGAAAATTGCTCCAGATGTGTTACAGTCTGCCGGTTATTACATAGTGAAGTCACGATTCACAAAATTAAAACTCTGAAAATTTTTTGACTTGCAGGGTGATGATCATATGCCAGATCACTCAGGCTTTACTGAGAGTTTAATGGCAGTCCTCACAATAGCTAAGAGGGTGATGGTCATACCTTTCCAGAAGACTAGTGAGCAGAACATGGCCATGATCCAGCTACCCCTGCAGACCCAGGATCCTTTGGGATACAGGATGCTTCCCTCCCAAGGGAGGCAGGAAAGGTTGAAACTGTGAATGCAGAATTGCAGACTGTGTGAGGAAGCATTACCATTTACATACAGGGACTAACACCTGTTTTGCACTGCATTACTGTGACTAAGGGCCTCACTAAATGAGATGCAGATTCTGCACTTAGAAGCAGTAATAAGAAAAAAGCCATCTGTTTGTTCTACTAC